CATCATGGCGTAGTTCAGGTCGTTCGGGATGGGGCCGCCAGTCGCCATAGAGATGAGGAGATCGTGGAGCACGTCGATGCTACCGTCGGAGTTGATCCAGGCACTGCATGGAAGTCCATCAGGGCCAGGAGCAGAGTCACCCGCGAGTCCAGCTGCAGCTAGAAGTGCGTCAGCATCAGGGAGCGGCAGATGACGAAGTGACTGCTGAGGGAAGACCGACTCCAGGTAGTGGAGCACGTTCTGGTGGTGCACTGGTTTGGCGGCGAGGGCGTTGGCCCAGTGCGTCTGGATGGCGCTGCGCCTGCCCATCGGGTCGGACACGCTGCGCTGGGCGCGGCTGTCGGAGATGCGGATGCCAGCGAGGGGTCAAGCGTTTAGTGGGCGGCTTCCAAACCTCGCTGCGCTGTCCGATACGTCGGGCACGACGACGCCATTGTTCACCAAGGGCTTCCTGTTGCGAGGCAAAGGCGGCCCGCGAGCGAGCAGCGGCAGCCAGACGGCGCTGGTCGGCGATCTGGAGCTGCATGGCAGAGCGTACAGTTCCGAAGGCGGCGCGATACACGAGGCTGGCCTGGTTGTTGTGGATGACGAGGTGGGCTGCACCAGCGGAGGTGTCGGCGTGGAGCAGCCGGGCAAGCGTGACGTCCTGGAGCCAGATGGCACGGGCTATGCTGCGAAGTGTGAGCGCGCGAGCTTCGGCAATAATCTTGGGTTCGTCGGAGAGGAGCTCGGAGACGGCGATGGAAGAGGGCGTCGCGAGTCTTGCGCGCCGCCAAATTCAGTATGTGCTTCTTCATTGCCCGCCACTTCGAGATAGGGTTGGTGTCCGAGAAGCCGGCCAACTCGATGAGACGCTGGAAGTAGAACTTGTAGTGCTTGGACCCGAAGAGGAACGCTGGGATGCCCCGCCCGTCAGCAGGCCGCTGTTGTCGAGGTCGCAGGCGAAAGTGTAGAGGCTTGCGGTCGCTTGTGGGCTCTGCTGCTCGGTCAAGAGGACGGCCACCGTCGACGAGAAGGGTCTCGATGTGAGGGGTGTTAGAGGCGTTGAGCGAGACGCAGCAGCGGTCGATGGTCGCCTCTGCCACGTTGGCGGCACATCGGCGGGCGGTGGCCTTGGTCGTGATCTCCAACATCTGCGAGAAGAGGTTCTTCCAGTAGACGGGTAGGTAGTGGTAGCGCTCGGCGGTGGAGCGGGGCGTAGGGCAGAGCAGGTTCTTCGGGGGTGCGGCCGCTATGTTGAAGAGGCCAATCACGATGGCGTCGTGGGTGTCGGGAGCCAAGGCCGAACGTTGAGGCGCAGCCCCCCATGCTTCGCGAAATTGAAGACGATCGGACGCAGTCAGCTCGTAGTTGTGCGCGTTGGAGATGGTTGTCTCGTACTGCCCGGAGCTGTCACGCACTCGTAGTGCTCCAACGTGGCCAGGAACGGTCGCGCGATAGGAGCGTGGGGGGCGCTGTTCAGGCGGAAGGCGTTGCTCGGCACGATCGACGGGGATCAGGAAGGCGATGCCGCCAGCAGTCTCAGAGGCGGTGCCGTCGACCATGCGCGCCGAGTGGAAGGCGACGTAGTTGTGCTCGCTGCTAGAGGCCAGGCGGTTCATGTCGATGTGGTCGCCGTGGGCTTCATGGATGGCGATGACCGCGCGCTGTCGCATGCACGGCAGGAGCGCCTTGCGATTCAGGTCTCGTCGCGACGCCGATCGTCTCCATTACATGACGTTGAGCCCATCACGGTGAGGTTGGAGATACCATGGGGACCATCTCGGGCTAAATTCACTGCGCGGCGTCCAGTGGGTTGGCGAACGCGGACGCCAGCGCGGCCACCAGGTTGTCGTACTCCGAGACGGGGATGCCTGCGGGTTCGGCGGTAGCAGACCAGCGGACCCTGGTGGCTGCCTCAGGCGAGGCACCAGCAGTGACCTGGACGATGGGGGCGCCGTTGATGGACAGGAAGCCGCCAGTGCGGTGGACGCGAACGTCGAGAGTGGGGTGCTTCTCGAGGATGAGCTTGCTGAGCTTCTTGAGCTGGACTTCCTGGCGGACCATGCGAGGCGACTTGTCGGCTGAGACATAGGGGGGCGTGGCTCCCCCAGACGCTTCAACCTGGAAGCGGCGCCAGTCACGCCCTTGCCGAAGAGCGCGGTGTAGAGCCTGTGCTCGAGGGGGGGCCACCACATCGCCACCCGTGAACGTGAAGGAGAACCTCTTCGCGGGGCCGCCGGTGTTGATGCGCAGCGCGTTGATGTCCACGTCGGCGGCGGTGAACCACTCGGATAGGGCAATCTTGAGGGGGCCAACGGGGAACTCGGTGGCGGCTCCGCACCAGAAGGCGGCTGCGGGTGGGGCTCGGTCCCAAGAGCCAACGGCGTCCAGGTCCAGGGATGGCCAGGGATGGGTGCAAATATTCGGCATGTTGGAGAGCTTGTTGAAGGGCCGCAACGCTGGCCTGTAGATCTCCTTGGAGTCGCTCAGCACGGTCGGCACGCCCTTTGAGTTCAGCAGCAACGCGCTCAGTGGATTCTTGACGGGAGCAGAGCTGTTCAGTCGTCTTCGTGATGGAGGCCAAGAACTCAGCCTGCGCGACAGCAACCACTTGCTTGGAGGTGGCCTTGAAGGCGGCGGTGGCCGTGTCGACTTGGGTATGCAACAGGTCTTGTAGTTCTTTCCGTAGGCGAGCTGGGATGGCAGTGGCAGCGAGCTTCTGGGCGCCAGCAGCCCAAGGGTCCTCCATGACGATGTCCTTGTCCTTGCCTTTGTCGCTGGACTCGGCAGTGGAGGCTCGCGGGGGTGTAGCAGTGACGCCAGGGAGCCCCATGCGGACACGTCAGCTCGAGGAGGGGCGAGGCCCGCGCCCGCCTGCACAGATCGCGCGTGATATGCAAGCTGCGCCCCCGCAGCAAAGTAGATGGAGAGGCACAGCGTTGCGGGCGCAGCGAGTGCAGAAACCAGTTGTCCTGACCGTCCGCGGACCAGGGGTCTCCGTGCTCTGCCACGGGGCACAAACATTTTGAGCCAAAATGGCTACGGTAGGAAAAGGAAGAGGAAGACGAGGAGGAGGAGGAAGAGGAGGGCGACCACCCCCGCGACTGAACGAAAAGGCGACGCCCTGCAGAAGGGTCGCGCGTGAGAGGCATTCGAGAGCAAACCCTCAATGTACGGACTGCGAAGAGACTGGGGGAGAAAATTGCTAGCGGCACTTCGACCAGAAATTTCGGCCCCGTACTGGCAGAGAAAATGACGATGATGATAATGATGAGGAGGAGGAGGAGGCGGAGGCGGATCCCAGGGAGCCAAGGAAGGGAGCGGAGAGGAAAGAGAAGGATGAGGGACGGAGGCCCTCCTCTGCCTCCCCCTCTGAGTCCTCCTCCTAATCCACTCTCTCCTCCTTCGTCCCCTCCTGGAGTGGAGGAATGAAGACAAGCTGGCCCCCCCTCGGCTACACGCAAGAGTGACTTCTAGGCGACAGCGGCCTTTGGTGCGCGGCTTTCGTGGGGGGCCCGCGGGCAACCTCCCCAAGCGCGCACGCCGGTGCCATCGAATCGCATTCAGCGGTCGGGAGACTCCAAACGTTGAGTCTTAACGACTTCTGCTGCGTCTCGACTTGCGCTGGAACTTCCACGCCATTCTGAAGATTTTTCTGGATGCCTGTGGAATTTCCTCGACCTATATGTACTTGCGTAAGTCCACGTGTCTTTACATCAATCTACCTGGCTTGATCCGCGCAAGCGGCTTGGAGAACAGCCGTCAAGCACTTGATGATCCAGTGGGCCCGTACCGATTATTATCATTATTATTGTGTTGTTACTGTTATTATTAATTGGGTGCCGGCAAGGCAGCGCACAGGGAGGCTGTCTTGCGCAAACTGGCGGAATGTGACGCTACGCTGGGTCATTTTTTGATTTTTTTGAAGCGCGGCCGGAAGTCTGACTTCGGGGATCCGGTGACCGATTCCACCTACATCGATCGGGGACTTGGAGATGGGAGCGGACAGCGAAGGTATACACGGAGCGCCTCTGTCCTGCGAGCGTGGCCGAAATTCCTGGGAGGGGGCGTGTTGCACCCACCGGATGGGCCTCCCTCTCACCCGTTGAGTGCCGAGGTCTGAGCTCCTAGTGGCTCACCCGCCACCACTTTTGGCCTCCGGCGGCCGCCCCCAGGATGATCCAGGCACCCCGACTGCAGCGCCCTCGACGAGGCGCGGCTGCTGCCGCAGAGCACCCCGAGGCTGGACGACCAGGGGAGCCGACGAAGACGCACGTGAGGGCGAACGTTAGGGGAACATTAGGGGGGGGGCTGGCTAAGGTCGGGCGTTGGCAAAACTGGATTTAGTGGGACCTGATTTAGTGATGTGTACTGGGGGACGCCCCCCCACCCCGTTCCACTAACCGGAACGGCCGTCACCCGAAAAAACACCAGCTACGGCAGACCTGGTTTAGTGATTTTGGCAAACTTAAAGCCTTACCTGGGGTCCTGGCTATACCCGATCAGGGGGGGGAGCACCGACGTGGAAGCATGGCTCGGCGATAGGCCCCAGACAGCAAATCCGTGCGTTCCTGGGCGGGGTGGGCCGCCAGGCCCCTGTCGGCGATCAGTGGGCGAGTGGGGGTCGACGCATCCCCCCCCCTGAGCCTGTCCCCCCCTAGCGCTGCCCCTGAGCCCGACGGGCCCGCGACAGCAGGTGATGGTCAGGAACTTTTGCTCAGCGTGTCGCAGCGGCGTCCCCGGCGACACGCTATCCCCTGCGAGCGGATAGCGTGTCGCTCTGCTCCGCCGGGCGGCGGCGGGAGGCCGGGAAAGGCTCGGGACGTTCACGTTCGGGAACAAGGGCGTGGATTATGCGCGTCGCGACGAAGCGCGGTGGGCCAGAACCGGCGCGGCGACACGCTGAGCCAACGTTCGCGACCGTACTCCTGCGAAGGGTCGATCCTGCGCGCAGCCGACCCCGCGCCTCGATGGAGGCACGCGCCCGGGCGTCCGGGGCGCGTGGGGCGCCGCGGGGCCTCGCAGAGCCCAACGACGTCGCAGCCGTGGCGGTCCAGCTCCGCCAGCAATCGCGGGCCGCGGCTCTCCTCTCCTCCTTCTCCTCCTCCTCCTTCTCCTCCTCTTCCTCCTCCCACCTTCCCCCCGCCCCGCCTCCCTCCTCGCATTCTTCCTCCCGCCTCCTCCTCCTCTTTCTCCTCCTCATCACTTCTGGTCTGCATGGCGTCTTCAGCGTAGTGCACACCCCCGGCAATGATGCCCTCTGGCATCTTTCGCGGACACCCAAGTTCCGAGTTCCGAGTTCCTCCTCCTCCTCCTCCTCCTCCTCCTCCTGGTCCTCTTCCACCTCATTATCCTCCTGGCTTCTCCTCTCTCCTCCCTGCACAAATACTCAATATGATGATTCCTCCCCTCTCTCTCTGAATGCTGTCCGAAAGGGTCCCCTTTTGTCCTGAGTATACGCATAATTTTATATAGACGTGTATGTTTATTATCATTATTCTTATTATAAGTATTGTTATTATTACTATTATTACTAATCTTACGATTAGCATATATATATATATATATATATATATATATATATATTGTACATTATATATATTATACATATAAATACATGTCCACGATGCTCCATACATAGAAAGAAAAGTGCGCATGTACGTCTGTAGCTATACACATAGAAAAATATACGCATATAGATCCGCCACCGTGCCGCCGGGCACCCGAATTCCAAGTTCCTCCTCCCCATCCTCATCCTCCTCCTGCTCCCTCTCTTCCACCTCATTATCCTCTTGGTTCCTCCTCTCTTTTCCTTGCACAACTACTCAATATGATGACGGTTTTCCTCTCAACAGGGATGCATATATATATATATATATATATATATATATATATATATATGTGTATATATATATACACATACTAGAACCACGCGCGCGCTTCGCGCGCGCTGAGGTTCTAGTCACTCCCGCGACCGCGCTCAACACCGCCAGTGCCGCCACGGCTACCGCCGACCTTTCCGCCATCACCGCGGTCACGACCACTTCTGATTACATGTCCATTCTGGGCATGACCACCCCACCCACAACGATTGCACTTTCCACGACCCCTATAACGGCCATAGGTTCCACCTCTGCCTGTACCACAACCAATACCACTACCATTGCCACTACCACTGCCGCGAATCCACGACCACTATCATTACCATCACGGCAAATGCCACAGCCACGACCATCCTAATCATCGGTAGGACCACGATCGGCGCACGAACTGAAGCTGACTGCAGCCATCACCACCACGACCCCTCCAGGGCTCTCCTGGGGGCGTCCTCTGGGCCCCTTGGCGCTGTCTTGGGGGCCTTTTGGGGCTCTGATGAGATGTCTTGGGGCCCTCTTGGGCCGTCTTGGAGCTCTCTTGGGCCCCTCCTGGGGGCCTCTTGGCCGAATTGGGGATCCCACTGCTTCTTCTTTTTTTCCGCGAAAGGCAGGCGCATCTTGCCGAGTATTCTGTGCATCATGGGGAATAGAACTATGGGTCTGTAGCCACCTTGAGCTTTCCGAAGGAGCGCCACGAGGACCCGTTGGAGTTGCCCAGGAAGCTCACCAAGGACCTCCGAAACGTAAATAATTGTGGCGAAGGCCTCCAGGGCCTCTTCAGATAACATGCTAAGGTGCCTCATGTGGAACCCGTCGAGAGAGACTGCAGAGGCCTTGCCGTAGCTCTCAGAGAGGTCCCTGAGGGCGTCCGTGGCGGGGATCCCGATAGGCTCGCGGAGGTCGTTGTCCCGACGCAGAGGCGCAGCAGCAGGGTCCCAAAACTTACCGAACTTGGCCCTGTAGGTGTCCAGGGTGCTCTGTATGGAGGCCGTGAGCTTGCCCTTTATCACAACAGTGTCAGGCTCCCACTTGGTGCGCTCTTTTATGAACTTGCGTGCAGCTTTGGCCCCCTTGTCGAGGGCGTTGTCAACCCACTCCTTCCAGGACCTGGCGTTGGCTGACCTCACAACTGAGAGAACTTGTTTGGCGAGCATATCGGACCTCGCCTTGCACATGTGCAGCTGCGCAATGGTAGCTGCTATATTATCACCGCCGTAGGGGCCCCCTCTGATGGCTGCAAGCATCGGCTTAAGGTAGCGTTGAATGTCTGCAAGAAGCGCGCGCGTACTCTCATGCTGCGTCACGTGCTGGGGCGTGGCGCTCACTAACCGCGAAACGAGGTCGTAGACAGCCGGCCTGGTGGCCCTGCCCATCCTCGCTCTCCTCGTCCAATCCTCCTCCTCCTCCTCGAGTAATCTTGACAAGCTCAGAAGTCTGGCAGCAATCCAGCTTAACGCTGACGGGAGGAGGCCGTGCTGCTTGTTGGCTTTATTATGTATTATGACTGGCCTAAGTATGGGCTGCGGGGCACGCCCTCTAAGACCTGGCCTGAGTAACTTGCCCCCGTGCGCTGCAATCGAAATCGACATCAATAGCTCCCACTGCGTTAACGAGTTGCTACTCGACAATGAACATACCTATTGCTGCGTTGCTCGCTGTGCATGTGCCCATCGAGCATGTTGGTGGAAACGGCTGACCTTTGATAAAGGCGCAGTACTCCGATTACTCAAGCTGGTCTTGAGTAAGATTGAAGTCGCCTGCAATGATATACTGCATCCGAGAAACCTTGACCATTTCAGACACGGCCTCCAGGATCGCGACGTTTTCTTGCGAGAAGCCCTGACTCACGTGCCCGTAGAGAGACATGCAGAGGATGCCCGAGGTGTTGGGGAATTCCACAACGACTCCAAGGACTCGATGAGGTACCAAAACTCCTCCTGGTGGCCCCACGGGCTCCTCCAAAGTGTAGCACCAAACATCGTCGGCAACGAAGACAGCGACCCCAGCAGACGTACCTATCTCCCCTGCTCCACTCGCAGAGGGGGCAAAATTGGCAGCGGCAACCGACGGGGCCAAACAACTCTTCCAGCCGCGCCGCATATCCCAATTCGAGGCCTCGGCGATGCTTAAATCCGAGACGAGGTGAACCTCCTGCGCAAACAAAACCTTGGTGGGACCCCACGCAAGCTCAAGGAGGCGCCTCTTGAGGGTTCCCCAAGAGGACCCGTTCAAGGTCTCACAGCGGGTGCACTTGGGAGAGGAGGGATGGAGGGAGGAGGAGTGGCCCGTGCAAAGCTGGCTGGTTGTCTGCCTCAGTCGGGGCAGCACTGGTGGTCACCGTGACACTACTCTTCGCCGATGCTGCCCTGGTTCCCGTAGTGGAAAGGCGGCCGTCACCCATGCGGTGCATGGCCGCGGCCTGAGCCAGGCCGTTTGCCTGGCTGGGAGGCGAGCTGCCGAGCGGCAGCTGTCTGCTGGTCCTGATACTTGGCCCGCGCCCCCCGCAGTGCTTCGAGCTCTTCCTTCGGCGCGTGTTTGGCGAGAGCCTCCATCGCTGTCTTGAAGAATTCTGAATCGAACATGGGGGTGTCCGTAATCGATGCCGATGGCGGTGGCGAGCTGCTGGCTTTTTGTCCGGCAGCGCTTTCGCCATGCTGGACATCTCCTCAATGAACGTCTGGAACTCTGCGTTGCCAGCGAACTTCGTCTAGGCTTCCGCAAATCTTGGCCTTGGATGCCCTTGTGAACTCCGCGAGCGAGCCTGGACCATCATCTGGCGCAGTGTCCACACAGACCGTCTTGGCATCCTGCTCTTCGCGCTTCTGATCCTCCTGGGCCAGCTCGAGCCTCTGCTGCTGCTTTTGCATGGCCTTGTCGTTGGCTTCGAGCTGCGCGTGCAGCTCCTCCTTGGCCTTGTACAGTTCTGAAATCTGCATCTTGATCTTGTCAACCTTCTCGGCCGCCCGCTGAACCCGTGCGTGGCACCGCGCCATGCGCTGCGCTGGCGGCAGGTTGGCCGCCTGCGTGGCTCGAGCCACCACCAAGTCTGCCCTTGCCTGCTGCAGTCTGGTGGCCGCGTCTGGCATGATAGACGGGCCCATCTGCTGGTAGGTGTTGACGAGCAGCTCGGGTTGAACAATCCTCTTGCCGTCTGAATCGGCACCCTCTGCGGCCTGGGTGGCCGCTGCGTCCTTGCCCTTGCCTGTGACGCAGGAGCCTTTGCCGTTGCCTGGCGGTGTGCCAGAGGCTGGTGCGCTTGCCGCCTTCGACTGGGTCGTGGCGGCAGCTGCTGTGATGTTGGCGGTGACCTGCTTGGCGATGGCGTCCAACTGCTGTTGCGTGAGCCCTGGCTGACGAGCTCCTCCCACGCCTCCATCGCCACCGCCGTCTTTGCCGCCCCCCTTGCGGCTGAAGCCGCTGCGCTGGGACTTGCTGTTGTTGGGCTTCTCGCAATAGAGGCCGCATCTATGACACCACTGCTTACTGCTAGCAATTGGAGTCCAAGAGCGAGGGCCACATTTCTCGCACTGAACCCACGAGCGCCCAGCAGTCGGCGCCATGGCTGAGCGTGTTCTGGAATGGTGGCTGGATGCAAGACTCGCGGCGCCAGGCGGCCCCCGCGAGGATCGAGCGATGTCGGCCTCGTAGGCCTAAGAAGTAGCGCCGACGGGCGAGGCTGCGCCGCCTGCCTGCCCGCGGCGCGAGCGCCTGGTCACTGCGCCACCTGGAGCCAAAATGGCTTGAGCCAAAATAGCTTGAGCCAAAATGGCTTGAGCCAAAATGGCTACGGACCCACTGCTTCTTCTCGCATCCTCGTTATTCAGTGTTCACGTCTCTTCGCCTTTGCTCGTTCTCTTGGAGCCATCGTCGGCGTCTTCAAGTTACATTTCGAAGCTCGCGCGCCCTCTTGATCTGTTTGGCGGCCTCCGGCGCCCTCGGGAGCCATCCCAGGGGCTCCCCAGAGGCCCCAGTGCCCCCATGCGCGCTTGAGGTCGCGTTCCCGAGCCCCCAGTCGTAGCTAGGCTTGATCGGCCAACTCATGCAATCTCATGTTGCTCGCATCCTACGTCCAGGGGCCCCCTTGGGGGCCCTGCGCAAGCCTCGGAATCGCATAGAAGGGGAAGTGCGGAAACGCAGAAATCATTCATTACTTTCCTTTAGGTATTCAACGATTTGAGGCCCTCAAAGGCTTCCTGGTTTTTTTGGGGGAGGTGACGGGGTCTGAATTGTGGTCTGTTGTGCAAGAGTAGACCGGGGGGCAAACTTGAAAAAACAACAAAAAAACAGAAAAGAAGGAAGTGTGGGATTTCAATGTTTTCCAGTTCCCCCGCGCTGTTCGGCGCTGTTTTTGTTTGTGCCTCGCGGGTTTCGTTAGCCAGGCCCCCCAGGGGTGTGGCTTCCAGACCCCCTGGGGGTTCTGGAAGCCTCCTGGAGGCCTGGGGAGCCGTCGGAAGGGTGTCTCAGGCTGCGCGGGAGCGTGTTGGGCCCTTCTTTACGTTCTGGGGGCTCCTTGGGGTCGTCGTGGGCTGTCCTTCCGCGCGCTGGGGGCCCCCCGGGAAGCCGGGAGACGCGGTGCCGGCCAAGTGCCGGGGGATGCGCGGGCTTTCCGAATCGGAGTCCCGATTTGATTTACAAAAAAACGGAATTCTGGGAAGTCCTTTGCTTCCAAAAAAATCATCGATCTTGGAGGGTTGGAAGCGGGAAAACGTCAGAAGGGGGATTTTTTTTCTTTCTAAAAAAAAAAGAAACATTGGAAATCAACGATTTTACCCTCTTTGGGCTCTCTCGGGCAGCTCTTGCAGCTCTCTCGGGCTGTTCTTGGGGCCTCGTCGGGGTCTTCTTGGGGCCTCTCAAGGATCGGGGGTGTGTTGGGGCGCACTTAGCCCCTTGCAGAACACCGCGGGGCTTCAGGGGCCAACGTGGCCCAAGAGACCCGCGGTGCCAATGGCCTAGTTCCCTGGAGCGTTGGGCCCTTGTGGAGGCCACTGGGCTCGCTTCCTGTGAGTGATCCCTAAAATGGGCAGCGCGTCGCCCTGAGCCTCCCTACGTATGCTGTCGCCTTATTCCCGTGCGAGCACGGGGCCCTTGTTGAAGCCGCTTGGCCCCTGCTAGCAAGCCCTGTCTTAGTCTGCTGGGCTCAGAGCGCCAGAGCGTCCAGGCGCTCGGGCTCAGAGGCATCGCTGGGGCCTGCTCAGAGCGTCCAGGCGCTCGGGCTCAGAGGCATCGCTGGGGCCTGCGCAGAGCGTCCAGGTCCTCGGGCTCAGAGGCATCGCTGGGGCCTGCGCAGAGCGTCCAGGTCCTCGGGCTCAGAGGCATCGCTGGGGCCTGCGCGGGGCGTTCAGGCGCTCGGGTTCAGAGGCATCGCTGGGGCCTGCGCAGAGAGTTCAGGCGCTCGGGCTCCGGAGCGCCCACGTGCTCTGGATCATTTGTCAGAACGCCCGCGCGCCCTGGAGCACTTTTGAAAGCGCCCACTTGCGCTGGAGCATTTTTCAGAGCGCCCAATTGCTCTGGGGCATTTTTCAGAGCGCCCACTTGCTCTGGAGCACTTTGCGGAACGCCCAAACACGCATGGCCACTCTGAGCTGGTTGTAAAGTGGTCCGTTCTGGTTGTAAAGTGGCCCGCTCTGGTTGTAAAGTGGTCCGTTATGGTTGTGAAGTGGGCTGTTCTGGTTGCAAAGTGGACGTTCTCGATGAAACAAACATACTTTCCAATCCGATGTTGGTTGTAAAGTAACCCATCTGGTTGTAAAGTGGTTGTTCTGGTTGCGAAGAGACCGAATCTCCCCCCCCCCCCCCCCCACCCCACCCCCCACACCCCCACACACCATTTTCACCCATCGCAACCAGGCAGTCTCGCACCTACACCCTGATCTCACCTGCGCCGACGCCCCCCCCCCCCCCCCCCCCCCTTCTCCCCCCACCGCTGCCAGCCTTCTGTCGGCAGGCGACGCCTGCGCGAATCTCTGCTGGAGGCGCTCCACGTCGGCAGCCTTGAAATCCCCGATGGCCATCTTATCCCCGTTCTCCCAGACGGCCATCGCCTTGTCGCCCTCGGGGTCCGCAACCCAGCTAACATTGCACTCGCGAGGCTCGCCTGCAGGGGGAGGGCGGGCTGCGCGGCGCGAATTCGAGGAGGGGGCGTACAAACAGAAAAACAGATGGGATGATACCAAGCTAGGTGACAAGAGCTTGAGAAATCGCTTCTTTTTTTTTTTTTCCGCAATCCTGAACGCTCTCATGCTGTCTGCGTCGAAAGCGCACACAATGCCCCGCCTCTCGAGCGGCGCGATCGCGTCCGACGAACTGCTCTGCTGCTCTGGCTTGTTACGATTCTGGGAGATGGCAGAGGGAAAGCAAATCAAACATATCATGC